TTCCCTCTGCTCTCCCTCTAGCAAGCGCACACACCCTATAGCAAATTTAAAAAATAATAAAGAAAAGAATTGCTGGGGCCAGCAGGTGGCATAGTGGTTATGTCACTAGACGCCTGCACGGCTGACTGCAGTTCAAGTCCTGGACCCAGTGGCTTGAAAATCACACCAGGTTGGGGCCAGCAGTTAGCGTAATGGCTATGTTGCTGGACTCCAAGTAGTCAACTGCAGTTCGCACCCTAGACCCGGTGGCTTAAACTCACGCTGGGCGCGTGTGCGTGCGTGCCCAAGATCCCGAGAGGAGAACGGAGGAGAAGGGATTGCGGCGTGGCTATCCCCCCAGGCGGTGATTTCTCACTTTCTGTCTCTCTGTCTCTCTCTGTCTGGCGAGCGCATGCCCCCTATAGCAAAAACCGCTTAAAAAAAAAAAAAAAGAAAGAAAGAAAGAAAGAAAGAAAGAAAATCACACCAGGTACGTGTATGTGTGTACCCAAGATCTCAGGGGGAGAATGGAAGAGAAGGGATTTTAGCATGGCCATCCTCTCTAGGGGGTGATTTCTCATTTTCCTTCTCACTGTCTGTCTCTCTGGTGAGTATACATGTCCTATGACAAAAAATAAATAAATAAAAGTCTTTTGCTGAGAACAATATAAAATATAATTATATGTCCAGCTCTGACTGGGAAGAGCAAACAAGACAAAAAATAATTATACAGCAGGGATGCTATCTCCCTGATCTTGATTACACTTGTTTATAAAAGGCCCGATTCTGAGCCGACAGGAGGGTGAACTCCTCAGACAGGACCAAAGAAGAGGTGATGCAAGCTGTAGCTGGCAGCTCTACCCACTGTAAGAGGGAGACTTCCTCTCACAGCGCCCCCCATCACTGGAAAGGGAGAACAGTGCTTCTTGTCACGCTTACGTCATCCAGCAACAGGTTCTGCTTCTGGAAGGAGACCTTTGATATCCAGTCTGTGCTCACCTCAAAAGCCTGTAAATTACCTTTGTAGAGTTCAGAGTAGGGAAGGAAAGAACCCGTTGATTCTGAAGAGAACAGTATTAGTGGGACCAGCAGTTAGCGTAATGGCTATGTCGCTGGACTCCCACGTAGTTGACCATGGTTCGAGTCCCGGACCTGGTGGCTTAAACTCACGCCGGGCGCGTGTGCGTGCGTGCCCAAGATCCCGAGAGGAGAACGCAGGAGAACGGATTGCGGCGTGGCCACCCCCCTGGGGGGTGATTTCTCGTTTTCTGTCTCTCTGTCTCTGTCTCTCTCTCTCTCTCTGTGTCTGGCGAGCGCACGCGCCCTATAGCAAAAACCCCACCAAGAAAAAAAAAAAAAGAACAGTATTAGTTATTAAATGTGCACCTTATGCTGGATTTGCAGATTTGAGAGGACGTCAACACTGACCACCCCCTCCTCTCCACCCTATCTCCTTTTCTTCCTTGGTTCTTCCAGCTGTGGCCAGTTTTGGGTGGGAATAAA